TATAGCACCAAGTTACAACAGAAGTCATCTCAGGGCACTGAACAGAAGAATTCATATATAAGAATAATAATTTAGCATTATTTACCTGAAGAGCAGACTGCAGAATTTAACTCCACCACAGAAATCTCATATTGAGCAAGAACAAAGGCGACAGTGGAAAGGAAAAACTCCCTCATGAGGAAGAAACCTTTCGCAGAACCAGGCTCATGACAAGCGGCCATCTCCTTTGACCGACTGGGTTTGAGAGGAACAGGAAGGAGGAATAGATACACAATGGCAGGTCAAGAATCACATGTTAAGATAGAAATAGTATCAAATGAAAACTATTAAATTTTAACAATTCATTTAAGAAAATGAGGTCAATTTGTCCTGTCTAAGCCTATATGGCAGGATAACAAGCCAACCCTAACTATATGATTTATTAAAAAGGAAAGTCTTAAGCCCAGTCTTAAAACTGGACAAGCCTCATGGACAGAAACTGGAAGTTGGTTCCACAAGAGAGGAGCCTGATAACTGAAAGCTCTGCCTCCCATTCTGCTTTTGGATACTCTAGGAACCGCAAGTAAGCCTGCAGTCTGAGAGCTAAGTGCTCTGTTAGGAAAATATGGAATAATAAGATCTGTAACGTATAATGGGGCTAGGTTGTTGGGGGCTTTGTAGGTTAGAAGTAAGATTTTGATTTCTGAATTTGACAGGGAGCCAGAGGACAGAAGCTAAAACTGGAGAGATATGATCTCTCCTACTAACTCCAGTTAAGACTCTGGCAGCAGCATTTTGGATCAACTGAAGACTTTTTAAAGAAGTATTTGGACACCCAGATAACAAACCATCGCAATGGTCCATTGTCCATTGCATTTATTCACACTAACTGGATCGTTTAGAACCAGTTCCAAGAAACATAACAACTTTCTTAATTGTATGTCATCTTTATGATATTGTTGGATGTGAGCTGTATCATTTATGAAAATATTTAATCACTGCCAAAAATAATCAGTAGTTTTAAAGGTAAATTTTCAAAACATTCAAAATTTCTGCAGAGTAAACTGTGAAGTGTTTGTATCCACAATATGCCAAAGAGTTTCTGAAGTGAATCAACTTGCGCACAAATGCTGTCTTTTTTTTTATGTTCTGTTTTTTTTCCAGTCATTTATCTTTATGCATCAGCTGTAGCCTCATCTTCTTTTTCCCTTATTAAAATCAATATTTAATTTTCATTCTTGAGGTTTGGACTTTTTATGGCATTTGGTTTCAAATTATTCACCATATTCTCAAAAACTGGAGGAAAAAAAGAAAAAGTATCCTCTTTTATTGTGTTTACATTTATCTGGCACCAATTTAATGGGAGGCTGAATTCTGACAGAAAGGGGATACTCTGGGAAGCCTGTGAGGAGGAAACTGTACTCCCTGTAAGCACATCTCGTATACAAGATTATCAGCAGCTCTCTGTATGTTGATGACCCAAATATTTTCAGTCTGGTCTTCCTGTATTTTGGACATTAAACTTGATGTCTGGTGCATTGTTCAGAGGCAAATCTGTATTTTTTTTGCATAAAAGATACGTCATCCAGACAACCTTTCTTAAAAAAAAACAGCTGTGTTACTTTTTCGGCCTTTTTCCTGACTGCATTGTTGTGATTTAGTTAGCATGTTTAACACGCTAATGTCTTTGAGAGGTACTTTTATGGGCTTTTTGCAATTTTTTCTGAGCATTACACGGTCTGACAGGGACTCGTGTCCCTTATTGGTAAGATTGGAAAGTGTTTCTGCAACAATGCTATTTTAAAGGTTGATGTAACACTTGCGAGATCACCTAATCAATGTGCTTAATCAGCAGTAATGGCTTTTGTTTAATGCCTAAGATTTAAAGATAACCTTGTTTTGTTGTTGTTTTTTTCACACAGTTCATGATTTTGGTTTGTTTAATAGTGGTGCAGCTGTCCTGGACTGTTCTTTAGGTGAAAAGAAGTGGTTCTCACGAGTGCTTTGGTGTCATCTGCTGGACAAATTCCGTCGCCATGATCTTTCATTTAAATGTGACACTTAGAAATATTTAATTTTACAAAACTTTAGGTTCAAATGTGGATTTAACTCTACTTTGTCGACTTAACGTAATGAAAATGTAAGAAAAATTAAGTGTTTTCAATACGCCATATGAAGCATTTGCCAGGACAAGATTAAAAACTAAATCAACTTTACTGACTTAAAATGACAGAAGGTAAAAGGAGACATGCAATCCATCAAATAACTGGGTCTTATTCTGCACTCTGCTGCTGTTACACCATCACACCTACCTCAGTTGTACACTGGAAACGAAGGCAGAATGCCTGGAAACTGATCCAAAGCAACGCACAGGAAGTGTGGCCGTTTAAAAAAACTGTCTTCTTCCTCATCTTGCTTGTTTTCCTGTTCATGGGATATCCTTCTCTTTTCAAACCTGTTCCTATTTATTTTTCTGTCCCGTGTTTCACCCAGTGCCCTGACCGTGGCTGTCAGTGTATTTTTACAGCACAGCCTGAGCAATTACGAAACTCGACTGTTGGTTCAATAGAGAGTTCCTGACAGACATGTGTCTCGTCAGCAACCTCGAAAAGTTTTACTCTGCTGCGTTACATCAGATTAATACCTTATCCAAACAAAAAAGGCTGTTTGGCAAAATTTGAGTATCTAAAGTCAGCATTACTTCTGTGTTTTTCACTTTGTTTTTCACATATCAATTTAATTGTTTGTTTATTTTTAAGCCTATAAACAGTCAATATCTTTTTCTATTGTACATTGCTGTTTCATCAACCTCAGTGTGAAAAAACGGTGCTTAACTTTAATTCTCATGTCTCATCTGTCAGAGTCGACGACTAATTGAAAACTGCATTCTTGAGGGAGTTTCTATAAACTTGGTGGATTCCTCGTGTGAGTCGCTAGAATTTTGAACATGTCTGAAATTTTCTCTTATAATAATCACAAATTTATTGTGGGCATATGGCAGCTATCATGAATTAGGTGCCCAAAGTTAGTCAGTTGTAGAAATACATTCAGTCACTACTTTCTGAGAGTTTTATTAAAATCTGTCCAGATGTTCAAGAGATATATTGCTGAAGCTACAAACAAAACTTCTTCTTTTGGCTTTTCTCTCTTCAGGGGTCTCCACTGCGAGTCATCCTCCTCCATCACTCTGTCCTCTGCATCCTCTGTCCTCACTCCACCTTCATGTCCTCTCTAACTGCATCCATGTATCTCCTCTTTATCTTTTTCCTGGCAGCTGCATTTCTAACATCCTTCTACCAGTATACCCACTGTCCCTACTCTGGACATGTCCAAACCATCTCAGTCTGGTCTCTCTAACTTTATCTCCCCATTGTCCAACCTGTGTTGTACCTCTGATGATCTCGTTCCTGATCTTATCCATCCTCGTCACTCCTAAGGAGAACCTCAGCATCTTAATTTCTGCCACTTCCAGTTCTTTCTCCTGTCTTTTTGTCAATGGCTCTGTCTCCAGACCAGACAATATAGCTGGTCTCACCACTGTCTTGTAAATGTTTCCTTTGTCCTTTGCTGACACCCTTTTGTCACAAATCACTCCTGAAACTTTTCTCCATCCACTCCTTCCTGCTTGGACTCTTTTTCACCTCTTTACCACATTCCCCATTTTCCTGGACAGTGGGCTCCAAGTACTTGAAGTCCTGCATCACCAAGCTACAAATAAACACACACACATACAGAGACAAAAGCACAAACACCCTTTTGCCTTTGTTGACAGCCAATAACAACTCCAGACTAAAACATCTTTAGCAGTTTGTGTGTACAGTTACTAAACAAACATTTACACCGCTGTATAGAATTCTTTGGCTTTTGCAAGTGCAAAAAGCAGGCAGCAGCAACTAGCTGTAGCACTTCTGGATCAGCCTGGAGCACTTCTGGCAGGAATGCCATAAAATTTCTACTTTGTACAAGAATAATGATGTAAAGCAAAACAGACACTGATTTAAATGTTTATAAAACTTTAGTGTGTTCGTGAACTACTATAAAGTTTTTGACACTAAAGTTGTTTTACAGTAAGATGGTCCACTTTGATCCACTTTGGTCTTGGGGTCTTAGGGTCTGAGGTGGCAACTTTTTTCCCCTAAGGTCCACATACAGAAGTGGGACTAATGTAGTAAACCAGATAAAGAAGTTTAAAATATTTCTGCCAAACATAAATTTTACAATCAGGAAAAATAATTTTTATTAGCTTCTGAGTGCAGATATTACAACTGTGGTATATAAATCTGAAGCAGACATTTTGACAGTTTAAAGATTACAGTATATATCCACTTTAAGTATTGAACTCTGAAAAAACATTAGTAAAGACATCTGTATGTTTTATAGCGTTTCATACATCAGCAACAAATTACCAACATTAAGTAGCTCATATTTGTATTTGTTTTTTCTATCTTTCTATGTTTTCTTAGGTTTAAATAAGTTCACTGAAGTCATGCAAGTGAATGACAGCTGCAGATGGTTATCAGTGACAAGATCTGTCTGGATTTGTTGCCTCTCTGTGAAGACAGTGTTCTTATTGTTTCTTTTATGTGTGTTTTTACCACACACTCTTCTATAAACTCACCATTAGAGCATAACTTACTATATTTTGCTGTTCTATCACAAAACTAGTCTTGGCTGCCCAATTCTTGGACGTTCATGTTTTGTTAACAATATATATATATATATATATATATATATATATATATATATATATATATTTGTTGCATGTTCTCTCCGTGCATGCGTGGGTTTTCTCCGGGTGCTCC